TCCGCGTCTGGCAGTTTCGACAGAATACAGACCACTTCGAATTATTTTATTCGATTATAGTAACGTGCCTATCACGTTGAGGTTGGCTACGCCGGGATTCGTTTTCAGCAAGTAGATATCCACACAAGTGGACCTTGTTGGAGCATACGTAATCCTAAAATGTAGCATCGTACTACAGATGGCGTTTACCGCGCCATTTGTGGTATTTTCTAGATCTACCTCTACCCTCCTAACTTCCGTTTCTGCTTCTAATATGTCTCATTGATGACTTCCCCCGAGGCAGTCCCCGTCCGGACATCCGAATAGTTTACATCCGGAGTGTTGTACCCCAGACGACGCCATCATTTGGTGTGTTTTACTTGGGATATTATAATGTGGTGGTTTCCCGTTACTTTCCACATCGCAGTATTGTGCATCAGAGTGTCATACCGATCCTCGTGATCTCTGCCACCCTGAGTACTGAAAGAGCTGATGCCCCCTTTCAGGGTCTTGTCTTAGTCTGGTTTTTCTTGAAGAACCCTCCCATTATGGTTGAACCTATAGTCCGGCTCCCTGTATCTGTCATTGAAACTCGCAAGCCAATCTGCCCACTCTAATTTGTACAAGAATTCGGTTAAGGTTCAAGTCCCGTCGGATCAGAAAAAAAGTGAACAGTGATTTAAAACTGACTGTTGTGATAATAAACGGTATTAGATTTAAAGAATCATTAGCAACGGGTCAGGGTGGTGAGGCGTTGAGGGATGCTAAAATTATAACCATGAGCTTTCGCGAATTTTCAGTTGTCAAACGATTACTATTTAATACGTAGTGTCCGACCGAAAGTTCGGTTTCTCAAGGTCTCATCCCTGCAATGTTTTCAAACTAAAAAGTTCCATGAATACAAAACAGACACGCGTTAGTTGATATACGTAACAACGAACGTTCCCCTGTTCATGCGTTAACAACACTTTAAATGATGGGACGGATGAAGCGAACGGAATGTCGCACCGATGGGGTCAACCGTTCCGACCCACGAGCATTTCAATTCAATTAGTTTCAACGAATTGTGCACGAACAAAGGGAATAATGCAGTAGAGACAGGTAATAATTCAATTAGTGTAAAAACTGACAATGGGGATAAGTCCTCGTTTAATTCGTCTTTAATTTAAATCATTTAGAGCGTTAATGAGCCGGAAATTTAACTGCCATTGAACCAATGCGGATATTGCGGAAAAGCTGTAGTTTTTCTGATTAAACAAGGCACCTGAAATTCTCGGCTTCGCGTGGCGCCGCCGATAAATATACGTGAAAATTCCATTTGTATGTATCAAATTCTGTTACTATAAAATCAAACAATTAAAAGATGTAACTGATCAAAGCTAATGCCACTGTACAAAATGTCAAAATTTTTCAGGAACTTTCAAAATCGGAATGACAATGTACAATAATCATCGCGATCTAGATAGATAATTTACACGCTGGTATCAGTTAGTGTTTATCATAGATTCTTATCATGCCAAAAAATAATCCAGGAAATTATCGTTAGCATTTTTAATTCCTAGAAAGATACTTTACAACAATTTGCCAGACATTCTAGGGTTAATAAATATTGAACTAGAAAAATTCAAACACTCATACCTATAGAAAATTACATTAAAAAGTTGAGCCTACATTTAAAAACCAGACGCCCTCTAGAAACCAAAAAAAAAACTACGAAAAGATTATTATCACAATTAAATGCTCACCCATCGAATACGACCCCACATAAGTATTATATATATATATTTGGAAAGAGGAAGAAATTATTTCTTTAAATAAAGCAAAGTCAATTATGATTCATATTTAAAAATACACAAGTTTGTATTATAACTTAAAAAACGACATTTTTTTTTTAATTTTCCGACACCACTGTATTAAATAAATAAGTGCCTTAAGAATGTAATAATTATTTGTTGTAATGTTACAAACAACCAAGATATGGACATGAAGCTAAAACCCGAAATTTTAAACTTTTGTTTATATAACTCGAAAACAAAAGGCAATAGCAAAATTTTTGAAAACATCAATTAAAGAAATCGAGAAACCGACATTACTTTCTTTTGTATCTCTTATAGTTACCGAGTTGTCATATACAAACGTTAAAATTTGCCCAGCCTGAACTTATTACATTTATTCTTTATGTACAATGAATTACATTTAAACATTCAATATAGTGGATGATTTCATTGTGATTTTTGAGATGTGTAGAAAATCCATTATGAGTCCATCCGGTGAGGAGTAGCCAAACTCATGCATCGATTGCAACTGCAGGGGCAGAAAGTGTGAAGAATTTGACCAGTAAACACTAACTTATTGGCAGATGCCCAAAATTATAAATCTATCCATTTTATCATAACAGATGAAACCCAGTTACACAGTTATCCAAATCACCATTTTGATGACCAAGAAAAAAAGGTCAACTGAATAAGTACTTCAAGGAAGGGTGTATCAAATGCCAGACGGTCATAGCCAACATGCTACGCCATACTACTCTTGGGACGCCAGAACCACATCACTCAATGATAATAAAAGATCAGATCTAATCAGTTTTTCTTTCTTTGTTTGTTTGTTTACTTGTTTCCTCTAATTTATTAGTTGTTATCTTTATGTGGAAGATATTATTTCATTTTAGTTTCTTTTGTTTAATTTCATTTTACTACACATAGGCATATGCGTTATACCTCAGGATTCCGAAAGAGATAAACAAGAATTTATTTGATAGTATTAATCTTCGCATGTTTGCTAAACTTGTATTTACGAAAGCTTCGGCTTTTCGAGTTAAATGAATTAATTTATTTCTGTAATATTAGGTAGAGGATATTTGTCTGAAACTGTTTTCTCGTTCAACTTACGGCAGTCTATGACAACTCTCAACTTTTTATTATCCGAAGCATCCAATTTTTTTGAATTAGACAACACGAAGAGAATGACGGTCTAATGTTGTTTTGATTCATCATTTACTTAATTTGATCGTGAGCTTCTTTCTGATGAAGTTTAGGATAGCGGAACTTTTAACAGAAGAATGTGCGTTATTTCCGGTATTAATTTTGTGTTTCTATTTTACCGCATTCATTGTTCATAAATTCTACTGTTGACATCTTAAGGTCATACGTATGTTACACGGCGCGTGGAGCGTGGATCAGCATTCCACCGCCCGCCGACGCCGTACAAAGAAATTAAAGAAACCGCTAGGACTCTCAATAGTCTTTGAGTGTTTCATCCCTACCAGTCAGTAATGACGGTGGGCGGGCAGTCTCTCCGGACTACGTCAGAAGGTAGGGCGGAAGACCCTCTTCAGCCTCCTTTCAGGAATCGTGGGAATGGGTTGGTGGTGGTTCGGGTGAGAAAGATGGGACGGACGAAATGAAGACAGAAGAGAATGAAAGATTATCTGTGGAATATTACTGCCCCAGCATTTGCCTAAGCGATCCAAGGAAACCACAGAAAAACTTGGACTAAGACAGATGGACCCGGAATGGAATCAGCGTCCTCCCGAATACTAAGCATTGGTCTAAACCTCTAGGCCATGTCGTCCGGTAATAGAAATAATTATATTCAATATTTACTTATATAGATAATATATTTTCTAACACACCTACATAAACATCTCTCTCTCTCTCTCATTAGCAGGGCCGCAACAAGGGGGGGGGGGTCCACGGGTGCCCGGGCACCCACTCGATTTAGGTTGAGCACCCTGTCGATTCCAGTCGATTCGGATAATAACTAGGTTCAAATAGTTCAAGTTCGTAAATGAACAGCCGAAATGATTTTTCTTTTTAGTCATTTATATACTATGATGAGAACTTTTTTTTTTGGTGAGCACCCAGTCAAATTGTAACGTTATAACGCCCCTGCTCATTAGCAACCGCTATTAAGAGGGCGGACGACAGTTCGGTTCTTTCTGAGTGCCAATTCGATCGTCGATTTATCTAGCTACTACTTTTGGGAGCCAATTCGACTCTGCCGAATAATTATAAAAGTAAAAGCTGGGATTGAAGATTATATATATGCGGATACCATAAAAGTATTATTTCTATCAAATTATGAAATTCACGCAGTAATAATATAATTTGAAGAAAACTTTTTGTCCATCTATGTGTCACCATTACGATTGGACTAATAACCGTTAACTTTTTATTAATGCAGATTAGTGAGAGCATAGTATACACTAATGGCGATTATACATAATACTGGACGTTGTGTATATTAGCTAAATTATGTAGGTAATTTAATAACTTTCTTTCAAAGACGAAAGTGCAATTTTCAGTCCCGGTAAGAAATCGCATTTTCTCCTTTATTACTTTTCCTAATAAGATATGTAAATTAAGTAATGAAATTGGCAACATAGTAATCAAGGTTTGTCAAGAGCCCAAGTTCTTTTCAGTGGCTTAAGACACGTTCGGAAGGAAGAGAGTTCATAGAGGATGAACCTCTCCAAGGCCCAAAACGCAAGAATAATCAAGTCACAAATCAAAAATGTTATCGATTTTTTTAAAATTTGAAACAATCTAAAACACACGAGAAGCTCAACTCCAAAAATACAAAGTAGCATTAATTTTTTTGTCGCACTAAATATTATGACGATTACAAACATTTCAAAAATGTGGAACATCTAATCATAATAAATATATTATTTCTTTAATAATAACGTCGTTTTTGCTTGTTTACTGTACACATATTTCAAATTACATTAAATGAGAATGCATCTGCCATAATTTCAAAGTGGATTTGCGTCAAATGCATAAATGTATATTATTATTTAAAAGACCACAACGCGGTTGACATTTAAATCTGCTTTATGACGTGCTCTAATTTAATTGGTTAATGGAAACAGTTGCACTGCAACGCTTCAAATCCAAAACCAATCCAATTAGCTGCACCGAGCGTCACAATATTACTGACATTGTAATCCAAAGTAATTAGGTGCAAACATGCAGAAATAGAACAAAAAAGAAAAAATGAGAGCGCTAAAATATACTCACATGATGCGGGAGATCGCTGACGACCTTTTGTTCCTTCTACCCTAAAAACAAAAAGGTTTTAATCAGAATTTATTGCACATGAAATACAATATAACTAATATAGATATAACTGTCTTCTTTTACAAAAAAATGCAAAAATATAGATACTTTTTTAATAAAACTTATACGAGGCTGAACAAAAGCTTGCGCTGGTACTTATTGATATTGGGAGTGAACAGGTTAGAACGAGAGGATATTTAGACAATATTTCTTGATTTCTTCGTATTAGTGTAGTAGTATTACACATACTACGTGGGCCACCTACAAACATTGAGCAGCTTACCAGAGTAGAAAATCACTATGGCTCTGATCGGATCAAGTCTTCCAGGTGCCCCAATAGTGCTCAAGAAGAAAAAATTGATCAGGACCGAATCAAAATATTCTGATTATACAAACTCCCAATAGAGATACCTTACGTGATCCTGAGCATAAGAGGCAGATTGGAATGCTTTGTAGGATCCTGACTAAAAAGCTTGTAGGAGGCAGATCGGCGTATGATAGAGTAATCTACGAGAGATAAGGTATCTCACAGGATTTGAAAAAAAAAATTAATTTCCGATAGGGTAAAACCGGTAGAGATGGCGCAGCGGGGGAGATGGCGCAAACAAATATTTTCCACGTTTCGCGCTTTTGCAGCACAATAGTACTGTTTAGGTCTCACAGTAATGAGTGGTTGTTAATTAGTGGTGTGTCTGAGTGTTTAAATGATCTGCTAAGGTAAGTAAATAATCAATATATATTTCTGCATGCTAATTTTTTTTCACTAGTTTACACATTATAAAGTGTACAAATTAAACTAACGAATTTTTGATGGGTTTATTATTACTTGAGCATTACCAACTGTTTGAAGCGTTCTTCTAACCTACAATTGCAAGTATGCATGCAATGAGGCGGGAGTACATGGCCACGCCATCTCACCCAACGGGATTGGGTTAGTTGGCGCGAGCCATCTCTCCCGACCTCAACAAAACATAAAAATTTGTATATTTTATATTTTATGTATTCTTTTATAGATGCCAACTGAATATATTCGCAAGGGAAGCTGCTCCAGAGGTTTGTGGACTGAACAGCAGTTGACTGCAACAGTAAATGCTGTACAAAGTGAAAATATTGGAGTTAATGAAGCATCCAGGTAGTGGCACGGATGGCGAGAGTGATTGTGTTGGCTGTGGGGAAAATTATGAATATACTTCAAGTAAAGAGGACTGGCTACAGTGTATTTGTTGTCGTAGAGGGCTTCATGAGGGTTGGTACCACGTTTCCCAATCATTGTATCCGATGTGGCAGAAAAGAAAATGTGAAAAAATGAGGTTTTTTTTGTCGCGCCGTCTCTCCCACTGTCGTAAGGTGAGATGGATTTTAACATATTTTTTTTAAATATCTTTGCGAATGTTAAAATAAGGCCGAATTGCTCGTTTTTATTATTTACCTGATGTATATCGTTGTAAACAATATGTTATTTCTATTAAACGGTTTTGTTTTTAAATTATACCTCTTTTATCAAGAAGACAAAAAAGGTGCGCCATCTCTCCCGGTTTTACCCTATGCAATTTGACTTAAATTTATTTTGTCCAAAGACAATTTAATGACAGATAAATTAACCTGTTTTCTTCTGGATGATATGAAACGTCATTATGCTTTTAATAGCTAAAACCATCATCATAATAATAATTGTAACTTAATACATGTGATATTTCTATAATATTTTGGAGCTAATTATTAAAAATTTACTATTTTTCGTCATTTTAAAGTCCTCAACGGCAGTAAAAGGAACGGAAAGTGAAGGTATTGTTTTATTGGTGCTATGGAATTATTAAGCAATTACTATAAGGATTACAATAAAGTAATAGTAATAGCAAGATCAGACTAGAATAATAATCAGGAGTTTTATGTACATTTACAATATGGCTAACAAGTCAGACTCGGACTGGGATAAATTTCCATCTGGGATTTCAAAAGGACATACAAGTCAGGGCCGGATCGGAATAAGTAATGAATCTCCTGACAGAGATACAATAAGGTAAGCACGTCAAGACTCCTATTACAACCTGACAAGGGCCAAGTATGGATATCGTAGTACGGCTTCCGTAGTAGAATCTATTAGGGTTAGGTACCTCTATTTCGATTTACTTTTTTCTAGTACAACATGCATATGCATAAGATTCCATTCTGACTAATTCAAGCATGTTGAATTTGAATATTACATTATTTTTTTATTATTTCTCATAAAAAAAATACTTTTTTTTCGACATTTAATCACAATTTTCTTGTTTCAAGTTCTATTGCGAAATTTTACTTTGGCGCACTCTGGCGGAAAAAATTATCTCAGTAACAAAAAACATCCCCTTGATACACTACTCAGGAACACCCTCCCATTCTACTCAAATCTGCAATAATATCATATGGCCATCTCGAATGCAAAGTTGATTTTCCTTTAAATTTTTTATCTATATACTTTTACAAAAATGCCGTTTCCTTTTTCTTACTATTTTGTAGTATCTGCATTGTTTCGTTCGCAATATGTAAGCAAGTGTCATATTCAAACACAAATAGAAAAGATCAAATAGATGTTACGTTTGACAAAAATAAAATTCTAAACATTTTTTGTTTGAGTTGAAAAAATGAGAAAGTCAGACAAAAACTACCATCGTTATTGGAAGTGAAGGTTTTTATGGAATAATAAAACTGTCAGCAAAAGAACAAAAAAATGCGTTCACAAGTGAAAAAGATTGACTCAAAACTACATATAATAAAAATTGTTTGTACATACAATAAACAAATATGTACTAATGTTTACAAAGGTGGATTTGGTACACTTTTATTATTTTCAGAAGGTTGGAAATGAAGAGGTATTAGAAAGAGTAAGAGAACAGAGGACTCTATGGAAGTCAATAAGAAACAGGCGAGATAGGTTGGCAGGACACCTACTAAGGCATGAAAGTCTAGTCAGAGACATATTAGAGGCAGAAACGGAAGTAAGGAGGGGTAGAGGTAGATCTAGATTAGATTACTATTCGCAAATAGTTAAGGATATTGTTGTTCTAGCTTTAGGGAATTGGAAGATTAGCGCAGGATAGGAAAGAGTGGAGGTGCGTGTCCAATCAGTCTTAGGACTGACGACCTTATGATGATGATGTTCTCGTCTCTTGAGTAAATACATCAATGAAAATTATTAAAATCTAATTAGTAGAGCTGCTCAAATCAAAGTTAAGAAGAGTTACTTCGGATAGGTATGTCTTAATTTATTTTTGCAAATTAAATTCTATAATTCGCTGTTCACAGCATGGTAAAGAGAACTTTGTAATTACTCATTTTCATTAATAATCCCATCTTCAAGCATCACGTTTCCAATAAACTTTTAAGCCTTAAATGGTAGTGCGAACCAAACTGAACCTATTTAAAAAATTTAATCGCTCCATTATCTTCCGAAAGCTTTCAATTTTTAATTGAACTGTCGACCCTTGTTCTCGCCATTTTTTCTCTTTTTAGTTAATTAATCATCACGTTTCCACCCGGTCGATAATTGAATTATAGGCGACGCCGCCGTCTGAAAACGATGCTATAACAACAACGACGCCCGACCTCCGACCTTTGAACCTTGACGCTTCACTCTTCGCGTTTCCGTCGCGTCGCTTCTCGAAAATTTGTCCCATTCTACCTAACGATCCGTCAAACCGTTATAATACGTATTACTTTCAGAAAAGCACTCGAATCACAATAGCCTAGCCTTTTTTTGGGCCGAAATGGATTTATATTGTCATTTTTGTCTTTGTGTAGAGTGAATTATCTGACGTTCTCGAATTTTCCTAAAATTTAAAGAAAATTGTAACCTAATGGTTAAAAGAAAAATTACATATAGAACTGATATACACGCCAGAGTACTTTAAATTAAATTAAATCGCGACTTCAGTATAACATGAATAATTTTTAAATTTCTCGTAAGTTAGCCCTCTAATATCAGAGGTTTGAGATTAATTTGAAATATTGCAGTTTAAAGTTCAAATGTATGTATGTATTCATCTTTATTTACAATCACAGCGATTATTCAAAACTTTTCACAACAGAAAAAATGTTCCTAATACGTCACATCCCTTCATTGCTTGTTCATCAGAAAACATGAAATACCTCAAGGGAGATCGCTCAAGCTAAAATAGATTATCCTTTGAAACTCGAAGTACAAAATAATGATGATAAAACTGACGCTCAAATTTTCCCTTTCATGTCGCATACTGTGTAAATCGTGGGGCAAGCGGGTGATCATTTTCAGCAAGTAAACATTAAAAAAAGAAATTACAAATGAAGGATAGGCCTTACTAAAATGCAAACTAAGTTAAGGATATTTATGGGAGGCAGTAATAGGAAGGCAGACATCTATATATATAAAAATGAATGTTTGTCTGTATGTCCTTTATAGAATCGTAAACTATGATATTGATCATATGATGATCTTCAGCAAAGTTGTTGTACATGAGCCAAAGAAAGGTTTCTGAGTTGATACGACAAATTTTCGATAGGAAAAACAAGAAATATTGTGTATCCCACAGCACTTCAATAAATATCGAATTGAAACGAAACGCTGCAATGTTACAATATTTTCGAAATGAACAAAATCAATAAAATGACTCAAAATGAATTGAATATTTGTGTAATGTCATTCCTTCAAATTTATTTTAGTTGGTGCGCAGGATACAGCTAGTAATTAATATAAACTGAAATAATTTTATTAAATATATAGTGTTTACCAAATACATACATGAATACATATAACTGAATGTCATCCATTTCCAAATGTCTTTAATTTCTTCGTTAAGGAACATCCATTAATTACGTGGAGTATTTTATTTCAAGATTTGGATCCCTCCTATGATGAGATTTGGTGAAATTTTGTCAGACCTCTCCTTCCATTTGACCTTACGTAATTATTGGCGATTTGCGTATTCAAATGCTCTATTTATTTCTAGATAATACTTATTTTTGTAAAAATTTGGACCCCCATTTCTTC